TTAAAACAGCAGTTAACAAAACATCAAGTCAAAACAAGTTATATCAGTAGTAATGGTAATCCACTGTTCTCAGCGATTAGTTATTGAGCAACAATCTGACCTCCCAAGATGCGGTCCCCCCACATCCGAAGACTGTCTTAATGATTAAACAGTTAAATCATGCGGCAAATCAGCAGAGAAGCATCGCTGTGACGAATGCTTCTTGACGGAATGCATTCATACTTCGCCTCACCTGTCAAGTTTCTGTTAAGTAATTTAGACTCTAGACGTTATCAAAGAAAATTTTTATTCATGCATTGAGGAAAAACGAACAGTTATTAACAGTAATCTTCCTATTCTTATGAATTAACGGTGTGTGGATGATGATGATGGCGTGTGGTTCGTGTACGAAGGGTTTCTGTGTGATGTTGGGTGAGTGTGAGGGTTTGATATTTCTGTGTGGTGTGTGGATGGTGTGGACGTATGGTGAGGTAGAAGTAGGCACAGTTGTCGAAGTCGACGATGTGCATTCTGTTGTCGACGTCGACGTTGTTGGAGTCGTGGATGTAGAACTGGACTCAGTAGTCTACGTCGTTGTTGTCGGAGTAGTGCTGGTAGTACTAGTCTCAGTTGTCGATGTCGACGTTGTGGATTCTGTTGTCGACGTCGACGTTGTTGGAGTCGTGGATTTAGAACTGGACTCAGTAGTCGACGTTGTTGTTGTCGGAGCAGTGCTGGTAGTACTAGTCTCGGTTATCGAAGTCGACGTGGTGGATTCTGTTGTCGACGTGGACGTTGGAGCTTTAATGGTAGGACAAGACTCAGGTAAGGAAGCGGATTGCTGTTGAAGTGGATTCACCTGTTGATGGTAGGATTGTGCTTGTTAACGTAAACTTAGTTGTTGGCGTTTTGGATGTTGGTGCTGTGCTCGCCAAATTAGCTTCTATTGTGGGGTTCGTCGTCGACGCTGTTGGAATAGGTTTTCCTGTACATTTTATCTTGTTGAAGGGAAAACCTTTACTTGTATACCATTTGCCATTCCTGCAATACACTTGAACTCTAATCACTGGTGAAGACTGCAGTTGCATCCATTTTCTTCCTCCTTTGATGGCCATGCTGATTTCGTGGCCTGGTGCCGCGCAATATATCGTAGCTAGTCCACTTCATCCTCTTCTATTGTACCTAGAACTTTTTTCTTCATAAACTGAAGGAAAAGGGTAATGTAAAAAGTGCTCTATCGCTTCAAATTTTTAAATGCAACTACTTGTACCCCGATCACACTTAACCCTCTAACCCTCATAAGTAGTGTTTTACAAGATAGTGAAGCCCTTGCTCGAATGGCGAATTCAAGAAAACTATTCAACCCTGAACTCGCACCGTTCCTATACTTTTTCTTATTAATGGACACACTAATAACTCATTGCGCAGAGCAAACACATGGTTATAACTTGAACTTTTCGCTGTGATCAATAACCTTGTCAGTTGCTATCAATAGTAAAAAAAACTTGCGTTACAACTGGTTCGACGCAGTCAGTTTGACCTTTTCTGCAACGCATGGCAGAAATGAATGGACATTCGGGGCAATCTGTAATGTTGAAATAAAAAACAAATAAATTGCTCTTATTCTAGCAGCTTTTCGACGCAGTAACCCTGTGGGAATCGAACGAACTCACCGGGTTGACCGCCTAGAGCCTGTGGGATGTTATGGGGGAAGAACGGCTCCTCTACGAAAACGCTGCCTATCAATACAGGCGGAACAGGAGGAGGCTAAAAAGTGCCTATATTCTGAGAAGGACTAGGCAAGGAAATTTCAGAGTTGTCTCTACTCCAAACTTCTAAATTTTTACTGGTATTTTCGTGCCGCTCATAGTCGTTGATCAGGTCGGGCGGAGTCATTACGCGCCCAATGGAACTGATGCTGCCTACCCGGTGATAATTCAGTCGCTAGCAATTACCTCTTTCTAGCTAATTATATAAAAGTAGTTGTGAAACGTGTCAGCGTTGGTGGAACTAGTAACGACTATCAGTTAAAGCTCAAAATTGATAGCACTACATATGGCGAGTGGAGAAGCATGAAGGAAGCGGTTTGATTTGAAGCATAGCACACATATTCTCGAGGTACATACTTTGAGCGGATGATAATGGAAGTCATGGTGCAGGACAGTGAAAACGTGATGGAAGAAGCGCGAAAATCTGTTGATTTCGAGAAACTTGTAGGTCATAAAGAGTTGTAAAAGTTGAAAAAAGGCAGTTACAAGAGGTATTGATAAAAGGAGGGGCTCAGAGGGAGTATTTGAACTAGCGCTGGTCCAAGTGCTAAACAGCTTTCTTATTTGGTCAAAAATGCCAAAAATTGCCTCCGACTTAGTGCACTCATAGGACCCCGACGTTGGCATTATGACGTAATGCTGTTGGGCGTGGGCCTATAGCGAGCGGGTAAAAAGGGAAGGCTCGAAAGTGAAAATTTGTACGTTACAGCAAGTCGGAAAGAGGTTTACTTGTCCCAAGAAAGTATCTTGACATTAAGAATTTGTTTCCATAGATAGAAAAAAGAAGACGTATGCCTGTAAAGTCCGTATTAATGCGTGCCCACCTGGAACCGCCTGGGCCCTTATTACGTTCTTGTGGGAGACACTCAGGCGTTCTGACGCCTGAGTCGAGTTGGTGTGGCACTATAAACGTGCCTACTGCAGCCATGGGTCACGACCACTTGTTAAAATTTTCACCTTAGCAGAACCGTCATAACGTGATCACTTCTGGGTGTATACGTCAACCATGCCTGTTTTGGAGCCTTTTAGCGCTTTGCCTAGACCCTTTTTCGGCCCCGCAGTTCCAAGGTACTATCCTTGAAGACCACCAGTTTATCCTAGGGAATAATTTCGGAGTCATCTTAACGGGAAGTGTGCTTCAAGAAGAAGTGAGCTATTGGCGAACATACAATGATAGCAGTTGGAATGAGGTACTGCAGAACCTAATCTGTTAAAAGATTATTCATGCGCACGCAGGCAAGAATAATATTCAGAAGGTTTCTGTGAGGAAATGTGATTGGAAGTCGAAACAGACTAGAAATGATCTCGTGATTTTTTCAAGAACATCTTGGATTCTCCACCTGCAACGTCGAAGATTTTACCTGTTTATGGATGGTGGGCCGTCTTGGAACTGTAGTTTGTTCGGGCGGAGCCGCTCCCCCTCCATAGGGATTCCGAGCTGCTCCTCCATCGCACTGGAATAACAGGGTAACGAAAATCAGAACTTGGTGCACCCTCATGAATGCCACTGGCACCTTGACTGAAGCCTCAACTTTTATACATGGCATCCTTATTTTCGGATGGCATTCTCATGACACACTAATTCAATTAAGGAATGTTTTAATTATAATCTTACTAAGATGATGCTTCGCTCATATTGCAAGGGGCGTGGTGCGACGATTCACATTCTCTCGTCCATATTCGAGTAAGCGATCAACTGCTCTATTTGCTTGATTCCCTGTAGGATCCGAAACTCGACTATTAAATAACAATCTATGGTGCCAACAGCTGTCTTTGGGGCAGGCTACAATCTCTTCAAGAGCTGCTGTTCTTTACTTATCTTCTATATATGTCAAGCGCTAACTTTGTGTTGTAGTTTGTATGCTCGTTCGTGCGTCCTCCCACACGTAGGCACGATCAAAAGCGTGAAGATCATCAAGTGAGAAAACAGTTATGAAATGGAAATGCAACCGATGCTCTTTATATTGGTCCGTTGAAACAATTCCACGTCCGATATGTACGTTTATTTGCCTCAGCCTTTCCAAGATTCTAAACTTTATAGGGCTAACGTTTCGGCGAGTTCGCCTTCTTCAGAGCCTAAAAAGTCGAAAAAACCATTGCGACTGACTCTATAATAAAGCGAGATAAACCCAAGACAGTTCTTTAGACTAGAGACCCTTCGAACCCGGTATACAAGAGGCTTACCTTGATCTAAAACGCCGAAGCGTTAGATCGACCACCCGGTGTTTACAGTATGTGTACAATGAGCAAGCCTTCCTCCTTTCTGACCTCACCGTAATCTCAAAATTCGCAGAGGTCTAGAAAGGGCGCGAGGTCACGGGTTACGGCCATACGCTCTTCCTTCCTGTTGATTTGTGGGTCTCTAGCTGCAATCCAACATGCCTCAAGTGCTTTTCGCGCAGTAGTCTCCGTTTCTAGTGCCAAGACGGTTACTGAAATTGTGATATCGTTACCATCGTGGCACAGAACTCGATGCATTCCCAATGGTGTTTGGGTGCGAGATTTTCTTAGCCCCTCCAGGTGTTCTTTGATTCGAGTACGAAGGGGGCGCCCTGTTTCACCAATATATTCAGCACCACAGGCCTGGCAACGAATTTCGTAAATCACTCCTGCTCTCATGCAATCACCCCGTCGATTAGAAGGACACACAAGGCAATCTGGTGTGTCACACGAGATGTCGTATAGGCGATTGCGAACCAGTTGTCGACAAAGTTTTCCTGGAGGTATTTCCACAACCATGACCTCTTCCTTCAGATCACACCTAGTCACACATGCACGAATTGCTCTGCTCATTTCGTCGGAAATGAACGGAAGGCAGAGTGTCACCTTATTGACCGGTGCTCGTTCATAAATTCTACGAGGTGGGAAATGTCCCCCACGTTGTGACCCTTTGCAGCGACTAGGATACCCATTAGAGACCGCAATCCTTCGAGCTGTGTCCAGCGATTCTGTCTTGAGATCCGTATCAGAGGAGACTTTACTGGCAACTCTGAACATATTGCTGATGACAGATTGTTTTGTTCTTATGGGGTGAGCCGAGCGGTAATGAATGAGAATATTCTTACAGCTAGGCTTCCTAAACCATTTGGTCCGTACTGTTCCCCTCGCTAGCTGAACCTGGATATTAAGGAATGGTAACCAGTTCTCTCTAGGCCTTTCCCGTGTGAATTTAATTTGATCTGCCCGATTGTTAAGGATGNATGATGATCGGTAGGCACTACTTGTATTCCCCGAGCCCGTTGTTGATCTACTAATCTATCGAACTTGTCTTTCAGCTTAGTCTTCGCCTTACTTCGAATCACATCACAAAGGTTCTTCGACTCACCCACTATTCTCGTCCAAAGGCGTTCCGGCACGATTCGTTCACAACACTTCTCTTTTACAATACACTTGTTCAAACAAGAATACAATTGATCACGCTTCGTTCGTATTGCCATCTTGAGTAGTTGTTGCTCGATTGATCGCACTTTTCGTGAGTCCTTCGAAAGTCCACAAACCTCGTGCAGTCGTTTGTTTTTGATGAACTTTGGCACAATTTGGGCACGTAGACATCGACGCAGAAAGTGGATGGTCTGTCTTGTTGCGACGATTTTCTGTCGCAACGACATGACTTCTCTTATAAGTCGAAAATAGTCGGCTGGTACGTCTTGTAGAATATACCACGATCGACTTTCTTTTAATCTTGGCATGACTTTTCACCTATATGTACGTTTATTTGCCTCAGCCTTTCCAAGATTCTAAACTTTATAGGGCTAACGTTTCGGCGAGTTCGCCTTCTCAGTAGTGGGCATGACATGGTGCACGCGTTAGTGTGCATAGCCCAACTAGTATATATGTACAGTAGCGCTCAAAAGTCATCGGTGAGATGCTTTAACGCTTTTTCGTTCACAACTTTTTTCTTAGTAGACCTAATCGCGTAAAATTTGGATATGTTTAACTAGAGCATATTTCACCCTACCCAACACTCTTCGACTGCAAAGCTGCAATACCCACAGATAAAGCAAGGTGTTTGTTGTGGTAGCAGATTTTGGTAAAAGTAAAGTTGTTGACGTCTGCACTTATTCGCACCTTATGTGCAT